GAAAAAAAAAAAAAAAAAAACAAAAAGACATTTGAGTCATGCAAAGATTCCAGTTGTTTTATAGTAAGTACTTATCTTTATTTGTAATAATTTAGTCTGCTGATCAAAAGCGTTGTCTTTTTTTTTCTTTTTTTAAAAACATTTATTTACAGGATAAGCTGTCTCATTTAAGCATTGTCTTAATTCTTGAGAAATGGTTTTAGAATTTACAAACTAAATTCCAGTTTATTAATTAATGACTTTATATTGCCTTTCCTGCTATATTTGTTTTTTTCCCGTTTCTTTGATTATGGGCTAAGGTAGGGTAGAGTGGGTGTAGTGAGTGTATCTAATGTGATTTGGCCCTGTGTCTTATGATATTTTGTTATTTTTGTTGTTATATTATTTACATTTCAGTACTTGTTTTTCCTGTTTTCATTGTAGTGGATGAAATTTGTACTTTGAACTATGAATGGAGACTACCACCCCAGCATTAGTTTCATATATACACCCTTTAAACCCGAATTACTGTTTTAATTCCTGATTACGTAGGTGTTGAATGGGGAAAGGGGCTAAGGAGGTGGGAGAAGTGGGATAGGTTATATATCATTGCCATTAGAGAAATAAGAAAATGGAAAGGAATATTCGACATAGTTGTTTTTAGCCAAATCAACTTGTTAAAAAAGGGGTAGCAATTTCTTCATCTGTGAAAGGAGAATAATACCTATCTTACAAGGTTGCGAGAGCTCAAGGAGACCATGTCTGTAAAGTTCCTGCTGTAAATATGAACTCCCATCCTAACATCCTTTTCCCTCTCTGTGGCTTTGTCTTGACCTGGAAATTGGGGCTAAAACTTAGAAAAACTTCTTACATGGTAACTCTTTTCACTGATGCTTACTCATATTTTTTGGTGTTTCTCATAGTTAAGATATAAATCACAATAAATAAATAGGTCAATACAAATGTTAACCAGGCATGGTGGCACATGCCTGTGGTCTCAGCTACTCTGGAGGCTGAGGCAGGAGGATCACTTGAGCCCATGAGTTTGAGGCAGCAGTGAGCTATGTTTGTGCCACTGTACTCCAGTCTGGGTGACAGGGTGAGACCCTATCTCTAAATAAATAGGTCAAAACCCTAAAAATGTTTAAATTCTTTTTTAAAACTTGAAAAAAGTTATTCTC